GATTGTTTTGTGTGATGTTTGTGATTAAATTTTGAGTTGTCTTATATTTTGGATGTTGTGGCGGTGAATTTTATCTTGGTTGATTTTAGTGTTTGTTTTGGTTTTGTGGCTATCCTAGAAGTTCTGGTGTTCATGCAGGGTGACATCGTTGTTTAGCATGCAAGTTTATAAGCATGAAATTATAGTGTGGAAAGTATAGAAAAAGGAAGGTACTGTAAACTGTAAAAGCGTACCTGACAAGCCTTCTCGTTCCACCACCTGAAACTCAAAAAATGCATGTAAGGGCATTTTATATGAAGTGAGAAAAATAAGGTTCTCGTGATCTACCAAATCCTAAATCATATCATGGTGGTTCTCTATTAGTTTGATTAAGGATGATTTTTGTTAAGCAAAACATATTTAGTTTAGTAGACCTCTGAAGTATCCAACAGATCAGGAGAAAAAGGCAGGTCCATGCTTCCCTCTCACTGCCTGGTGAAAAGGCCTTGTGAAAAGCCTCGAGCTCATTTAAACTTATTATGTTGCTTAATAATTCATCATGTAAATATCTCTAATGCTCAATGAACATTGATGTTTCAATTATCCCTCAGAGTAGAGTAATTATCATTTATCATTCAATTTGAGAATTATGCATGTGAAGACCCTTAAAGGAGCAAGTTAGTGTTATTAAGACACTTGGCCAATTTTGGTTTTAACTGGGGCTTGTAGTGTTTCAAAGGTGTTCAATTTTTATCACTTTTCTAATCCTCATTTAATCAAATTTGATTTAGCTTAGGACACTACTAAACCCTAAAGATCCTGGTGGATATTTTAGTCATTTTGAAAGAGACTAAATTTTAAGTGATGATAATTTATCATCAAAACATTTGAATGTCACTTGAATACCAGATAGGGGTATTAAATTAGTGAGTTATTGACAGCGACTTTATATGCTTAAAAATACAAGAATTTAACACCACTACTAGAAGATTTAAACCCCTGACAATGACGCCAAAAACTTGATGCAACTTTTAATATGCAAGAATTTATGAACCCAGATTTATATATTTATAATGATTTTGTAAAGTCACAATTTCAAACGCAAGTATACGTATCGCTCAAGTAATACAGGGCTCTAATGGAGTCCCATTTATTGATCCCACAGGGAAGCAAGGTAAGAGGTCCAAATTATAATCTACTACTATTATTCCTTAGTTTGGAAGTGCAATTTAAGAGGTTTTACTAACAGATACTTCTAAATGTGAGTCTTAAGTTTAACATAACTAATAACTACTTCTAAATTTTTTTTGGATGAATTGGTTTGAAAAATTTTGAGATATTAAAAACTACTATTCTTATGTAATGAATTGAATAATGT